TGATTTTTAAATTTTAATTTTTTTTTTTTTTTTTTTTTTTTTTTAGTAACTCTTATAATGGACTTTATCTTTTGGGCCTAGAGCCTCCATTTACTTTAGTGGCCTTTAAACATTATTAACGTACAATATTAATTGCTTCATTCAGATTATTTACTAAGCTCTTGTATATACATAAAGTACTACTGAGTGCAATGGAGAATGACGGGATAAAAATCACAGTACTTAGGAAAATTTACTGTTTGCCATATACTTTTAATTTTTTAAAAGAGGTTTTGCCTTAGGCACATACACTTGCCACAGAGAGAGAAAAGGTAGAGAGAGACAGAGAGAGAGAAAGTGAGAAATCACCCCCTGGGAGTAGGGGGGTGGCCACGCGGCAATCCCTTCTCCTCTATTCTCTTCCCTGGATCTAGGGCTTGCACACACACGTGCTCAGCATGATTTTCAAGCCAGCAGGTCAGGGACTTAAACCGTGGTCAGCCATGTGGGAGTTCAGTGATGTAACTGCTATGGCATTTGTTGGCCCCAGATACTGTTTTAAGTGCTTTGCATGTATCATATCATTTTAATCCTCAACACAACCTTCTGACGTAGGTACTGTTATACTTTTCCTTCACTAGTAGACAAATGGATATGAAAAGAAATGTTGATGAAAAGTCAGGATTAGATCCATATATTTGGCTCATATTCTTTTATCATTAGAATGCACTGTTTCTTACTATGTGAGGACTTCAAAAAATTTATGGAAAGGTGGAACTCAAATATGAGTTTGCTTCAGTGTGAAACATTTTTAAAACCTACGCAGTTTTTTTTTATAATGTGCACTTTCCAGGAACTTTTTGAAGACTCCTCATGTATCTGTGAAATAACTTGCATTTTAAGTTGGGTAGGGACAGAGGAGGTTTCCTAAGTTTCAAAATGAACAAACAAAACCATGAGGAAGTTAATAAATTACTAGTGAATGGTATAAACCCAGTTCCATGCATGGGACTTTAGGGATTGAAGAGATTAGTCTCCTTTTGACAAGTGTTATCAGAGTAGGCAGGCTTTCAGGTGCTCAGGGGAATTGGATAGGTCATTCCTGATGGGAAGCAGCGTAGAACATGCTGTCACCAGAGTAAACACCTGTTTACTCCTGTTGTTCCCAGGTAGTTTTGTTGTATCAGAACGAATACAGTAGTTTTGTTGTGGGTTAGTAAAGAGGGTAGTACAGAAAGGTAGAAGAGTACCATATCTCCGAGGACTAAAGAAGAAAATAATTTAGACTCATTCTCAAAACAAGGTTTGGGGTTATATTCTTTCAAGTTTCTACCTGAAATTATTTCTGGACATTCATTAGCTCAGTACTGTAATGAGGGTATTTCAAAAAAATGTGTGCAAAATGTAATGACAATATGAGTTTATTTTGGTGCAAGAAATTTTAAATCCATGCAGTTTTTAAATATATGTGCATTTTACATGAGCTACTTGAAGACCCTCTCATATTTAAATAAAGCACTTTTTAAAGTTTCTACTATATTAGGTTAATTTGTCCATTTTTCTTCTTTCCTGAAATATCAGTCGCTAGCTTTTTTTGAACATTATTTGGAAATCCAAGTGTTACTTGATATTCTCATTGCCAGAGGGTTGTTCTGTAGGCTCTTTGTAAAATGACTTTAGG